ACGCGAGAAAGTATATAAGCTATGTGACATGTAAATGTGACTCATATGAAAATGTTCTATGAGTAATTGACTATGTGTTATGTGAAATGATAAGTATAAAAGAAATGCCCATGTTATGTATGTGAGAGCTAAGGGTATAGTTGGCATGCCAAGATTGAGGGTTTACCTATGTTCTACGGAACATATGGACAGTTTTACCTATGTCTTTCGAGACATATGGACAGTATAAAATATTCTAAGGAACATATGGACAGTTTACCTAGGTTCTTCGGGACCTATGGACATTACCGAGGATCTTTATGACCTCTGGATAGTTACCGAGGATTTTTATGACCTTGGATAGGTCCTTCGGGACATTTATATGAGCTGTAATGACAGCATAGTGGTGCACAACCTCAATAGACTCATATATCTACAGTCTCACAGGTGTACATGGGCTAATCAAGAGATATAACAAATATAGTTAGTGATATGAAATGTATTACAAATGATATGATGTTGTGTGTGTATAGTGTTTGATTGAAAAGGTTAAGCATAAAAGTATGTGATTACATGATAAACTGCTAATGATGATTTATGTATGTATGTATTTATTGTTAATTAATCTGATAAATTTTACATGATATGAGGAAGTCATGTAATTGGTATAGCATGATAGAACAGGACATGCATATTGATGTATGTTATAAAGTGCATTATAAGTTTTTATGCCTCTAATCTTCGACTTAGCGTGTGATGTTTCACACGTAGGTTTCGAGAAGAGTAAAGAGTAATGCGGAGCAAGACAGGTCAGTTCTCCTTACCAAATGTCAGATCAGAAAATATATGTACTGGTTATAGAGTGTAGTTGGCATGTAGTCTAAAGATATAAATTGTATGAACTCTGATATATTTTGTAAACGTTTTGAATAAGTTAAGTGTTATCAAAGTTTTTAAATTACTCACTATTTTATACGAATAAATGTTTGAAAAGTCAATGTGACACTTCGGACTCGTATCCGGGTCGGATACGGGTTGGGGGTGTTACATTTTGAACTATTCCTTTCCTGTTAGAGCTGACAATGCTCTTGTTGGGGAGATTTCAGACATGGAAATTAAAGAAGCCTTGTTCAGACAAGGGAGGGACAAAAGCCCTGGGCCTGATGGTTATACTTTCTGGTTCTTCAAGACTGCTTGGGAAATTGTTGGTAATGACTTCCTAAGAGCTGTGAGGTATTTCTTTCATTCTTCTTACCTTTTGCCAGCTTTTAATGCAACAACTATTGTCCTAGTTCCAAAATCATTGAATGCTTGTAAGGCTAGTGAATTCAGACCCATATCTTGTTGTTCTATTGTCTATAAGACTATTACTAGGATCTTGGTCACTAGACTTGCCAAATATTTCCCTGACATGATTTCAGCTAGTCAATCAGCTTTTATAAAGGGCAGAAGCATTACTGATAATACCTTATTAGCTCAAGAGATTATTAAAGGATATTCTAGAAAGAATCTGTCCCCTAGGTGTGCAATCAAGATTGACTTGCAAAAAGCATTTGATTCGATTAATTGGGCTTAATGTTCTTGGAGCTTTGGGTCTGCCACCTATATTTTGTGATTGGATTAAAGCATGTGTAACAACCCCAAGCTATTCAATAGCTTTGAATGGTATCCTAGTGGGATTTTTCATAGGTGCAAGGGGAGTTAGGCAAGGAGACCCTCTGTCTCCTTACCTCTTTGTTATGGTCATGAATGTACTCTCATGTTTGCTTGATGTTGCTGTTAAGAATGAAATTTTTAAATATCATCCTAGTTGCAAAAGAATTTCCCTAATCCATCTATGTTTTGTTAATGACTTGTTGCTGTTTTTGTCATGGATCCTTGGACTATGTGTTGGGTGTTGTAAGTGTTCTGGATAAATTTTATGAGATGTCTGGCCTGAGGTTAAATGCTTCTAAAACTGAGATTTATGCTTGTGGGATGAATGCTGGAGACTTAGAGTAGATTTAGTGTGCAACTGGTTTTTCGTGTTGGTCAGCTCCCTGTTAGATACTTGGGGGTGCCACTTGTAACTCGTAAGCTCTCAGGGAAATATTGCACTGCCCTTGTGGAGCGTATTAAGGAGAAGTTGCAGCAATGGTCAAGCATGAAATTAAGCTATGGTGGGAGGTTGCAGCTAATCAAAACAGTTTTGTTTAGCATATTTAGCTACTGGAGCAGGCAACTTGTTCTACCGAAGGGAGTGATCCAGGATATTGAAAAGTTATGCATGTGCTTCTTTTGGAAAGGTAATGATACCTCGGCCAGGGGAGCTAGAGTTGCCTGGAATCAAATTTACTCACCTAGATCTGAGGGAGGCTTGGGGCTAATGAGTTTGGCTGACTGGAATAAGACTTGTTGTTTCCTGCTTGTTATGAACATCCTTGTTGGTGCGGGTTCTTTGTGGATTGCCTGGATTAAAGCCTATTGCTTCAAACACAAAGACTATTGGAGTGTGGGGAATAAATCCCATTTTAGCTGGATACTTAGGAAATTGATCAAATTGTGAGATGGGGTCAGGGTTCTATTCCCAGTTTTTGTAAACAGGACTCAAGTTAGAGGTCGATGGGTTTGGGACAGAATCAAGGGAAGAAAATATTGGGTGGATTGTTATCGTCTTATATGGTTTTCTTGCTCATGTCCCAAAATATTCTTTAATCACATGGATGACAATCCTTGATAGGTTGCCTACCAAGGATAGATTGATGCGGTTTGGAGTGGCGACAGATCTTGCTTGTGGACTGTGTGGGAGTGGATTTGAATCTAGGAACCATCTGTTCTTGGAATGTCCTTACTCGAGAGCAATATGGGATTCTGTTTTGCAGGATTGTTGGTTGCAGCAGCAAGGAGTTAGTTGGGATGATATGCTTTGCTGGATGGCTAGAAATTGGAATGGTAAGTTCCTGTTAGTTCACATTCTGAAACTAGCTTGGACTGGATTCGTTTATTCCATTTAGGAAGAGCGCAACTTTCGTATTTTTAGAGGATTGTCGCGTTCAACAGATGTAATTGTAAATACTATAAAAGACGCTGTTAGAATTAAGTTGTACAGGCATGATATGAATAGGGTGTATAGGGTAAATAGACAACTCTGTATTGTTTGGGGTCTCTTGTAATTGGTTGTAATTCTTGTTCCTTGTAGCAGCTTGTTGCTTCCTTTTGGATGAATATATTTGATTATCAAAAAAAATATTGTAAATTTAATATTCAAATTAGAAAAAACGAATATAATAATAAAAATTACTCGTTCTTGGTATGGATCGTCATCTTTGAAACTTTATTTAATTTTATAACCATGGTCCATGCCTTTCCGACATCAATCGAAGATATTACTACCTTGTTAACATTACAACAACGACACGTGTAAAAAAATATAGAACGCATATGCCCAATGATGTACATGAAATAAATTTTTTAGATAAATTACGCATTTAATCATTCAATTATCGTGATTCTCTTTTAGTCAGTTCGATAACTTTTTAATTATTATGTTTTAATTTATTTTTATAAACCATCATTAATATTACATTTTAATTTCATTTTAATTATTCATCATTTAAAAATTAACAATGATAACGACATGTTATTATTATAAGATAATATCATATCAATATCAATAATTTTGTTTAATTTCTCAATGGTAGGTAACCGTTGAGTCATCTCTTTTGCTAATAGAACTAATGATCTTAGGATAATCTTGGGATTATTACGAGGGATCAGGAATACTTTCTCGATATTCACGCGCTGGCTCCATTATTGCTTTGTGATGAAGTGTAGGATTTGTAGGCCATGAGTCTTATGATGTGTCAACATCTGAGAAAGTCATATCTCTATTGGAATTTGTCTATTCAGTTGCCTGAGATATCTCTACAATTCTCTGCACTGGATACCCAATTTCCTAACATAATTATGATAAATTCTGTGAATCCACGCCGTAGGAAATGATCCTAACTGCTTTGATGCTCCATGTTGCAAGAAATAATATGGCTTGTAGAGGATAATCATCACAAACAAATCAGGGATTCTGAGAGATTTTTTGTCAACCATGTTCAACCATTGGTGTAGAGGGTAAAACCATTGTAAAATAGTGAAAAGGTTATTTGTCTCCGTACAGTTTTATCAATAAAATATTGAAGGTCTAGTAAATTGAACTGAATAGCTACATGGTGTATGTGAGTGAAATACCATAGTAACTATTTCAATTCATCTAGTACCTCAGTAAATTCAAAATGCAGTGGATGGATAAAGGCATGTTCAGGATGTAGGCCATGAGGTTTTAGAATTAACCCAGATCTAACTGGTATTCAAATATCATATCGAATGAGTAAAATAAAATCAAAACAATAGGTGGGTTGATTAAATACACAATTTAGCCAAAATTTTATCATCATATATTTTATTTAATAATTTATCTCATATTACTAATTGTTCTAATAAGATAAAATAATAAATTACTTAATTTTTGTATTATAAATAAAATAATTAAATTTTATCATCATATATTTTATTTATAATTTATCTCATATTACTAATTGAACTAATAAGATAAAATAATAAATTACATAATTTTTGTATTATAAATAAAATAATTAAATTGAAATAGTTACATTTAAGATAATTAATTATCGTTACGAACGAAGTAAACTAAATTAAAAAGTTATTGAATCTTTACTGTTTGTAAACTGAATTAGTTTGTTGCATATAATTTAAATTTTAATATAATTAAGATTGAATAGTTTGTCCGAGGGATCCTTGTTTCGACTCTTCGCCTTTACTAAAGAGAAGGTTACGTAGACAATTGAATAAAAAAAATTATAATCGACGATCAAAATAGGAAAAAAAATATTAGTGACGTTTTAAACCACGTCAAAAAGGGCAGTCAACTCTTTTAAACCCAAAAATAAAAATTAAGGACACCACCTTGTTTTCGCGTCTTTATCTACAAACTGCTGCTGTCTTTTGAACTTCTTTAATTAAGCCCTGAAAATCGAGGCGTTAACGTCAACTCTGAATCAGGAGGACTCGTTGCGGTTAACCCCTCAATTAGAACTTAAGACTTGCCGTCTTTTCATGATCGGAGCTTTTAATTCAGCGATAAGAAGAAAAATCAATGGAGAAATCGATGCTTGTTAAGGATGTTCAACAATTCAATGGAAATCTCCCCCACTCTCTTTCTTCCGCCTCTCAAAGACATGTAACGTACAGGTTTGTTCTTTCTTTTTTGCGGTGTGAGTTCTGATTGGTTCGCTTGTTGAATTTGATGTTTGAAATTTTCGATTTTTTATTTCTGGGTTTTGTTTGTTATGACATAATTGATTCTGGGTTTTCTGTTTCTTATTGATTGTTTAAGGATCTTGACTGTGTTACATCGTGTAAAGTTTTTAACTTCGCCTCCATTGACTGCGAATAAAGTGTTAATCATTAACTGCTTTAATTGGAGATCTAAGGCTGAGTTCTAAAAAGACCTTTTATTGAGATGAAAAACTTCATGAAAATTAAGGATTGTTAAGGGGAGTGGGACCACTTGGTATGACAATGATGTATATATATACACACACACATAAAGAAGACCACCTTCTTTCACCATTATATTGCATATATATTGTGAAATTGGCTTTAGTTGATGTGATTTCTGTGCAAAAACCAGTTGCTTAAATTTCACCATGGTCAGTGGCTATGTTATTTTTTTCAAGTATTTGTCCGGTTCCGGCTCAGGCATATTCAATTTTTTTTTCTAGGCATTTTCATGTATTTAGAGGATTATCCCGTGTCTATGTCTGAATGTGTTGGAGATAGGTACACAAATATGGAGAGTCAGGAGTAACGTAGGGCAATGTGAATGTAGCAGCGGTAGTAGAATATTGCTTGCTGTTAAAATTTACGGATCGGGGATGATGGGGGTTCAGAATTAGCTAACTTCTTTGTGTTTCTCTTTTTTCTGGGATAATATTCTGGTTGTTGATGGCTGGGGACGCCATAGAATTTGTTCATCTTACATGTATATTAGGATGCTCAAGAACTGATTGTATATGTTACTTTGCATTCATGATAACTTCGAATTCTTCGGATACTCTAGCTTGCTTGATAGTTGCCAGATACACGTGGTTGTGAAACATTGAAAGATTTGATTTTTTTTTGTTGCAGAGTCGTTATTTTGCATCTATGGTAGCTTCAAAATTTTCAGATACTCTAGCTTGCTTGATAGTTGTTAGATATGTAGTTGTGAAACATTGAAAGATTCGATTTGATCGGTTGCAGAGTTGTTATTTTGCATTTATGTTAACTTCGAACTCTTCAGATACTCTAGCCTGCTTGATACTTGGTAGTTATGTAGTAATGAAACATCTGAAGAATTCGATGTTTATCGGTTGTTTGAGTTGTAATTTGATTGCAATGCCTTTTAAACCACAATACCTTCCTTGTGAACCTCTTGATGTTGCAATATTGAAACTTGGCCGTAAACATGGAATATATGCATCGTGTTTTCGTGTTTCTGAACCCAAGATAAAATGGTGAAAACAATTCTTTCTTGCAGTTGCGGTTCTTGTGGGTATGAGCTGAACTTAAGTTCCTCTAGTCGAAACACCGCAACAATAGGCTCTAAGTACGGAAAATCAATGAAGCGAGGGATTATATCATTCTTTAGTATAGATGAGAGTAGATTTACACAAGTTGATGAGTTCCGATGGGGTCCTTACTTTTCAAAGCATTCATGGGGCTTGTTCCGCCGTAGAACCAAACTTGTTTGCCGCAAGTGTGGCAATCATATTGGAAATGCTTATGAAGATAGAACTTCAGGCCACCCTATTGCACTAGATGGATTGGATTCAACCGCCGGTAATGAAGGTTCCAGTTGTAGAAAATACGATATTCGGATCCGTGCCCTACAACCTTCATCTGCCGAAAAACCCGGTACTCCATTTTTTATGTGATCCAGTGCTGTCTTCATCGTTATTGTAATTGCATTATCAACTAGGCTTCGTTTTCCAGTGCTGTCTTCATCGTTATTGTAATTGCATTATCAACTAGGCTTCGTTTTCTTTTTGTTGGATTGTTATTGTCTATAGTTGTTTTGAATCCTTCCATTCTATGCTTTCGTTTTGTCCCTGTTACTCGGTGGTAAGAACCGAGTAAGGGTACTTGTCCAGCACAAGTATGTTCAAATTCCAAGATTCTCATGTATTTTATTATATGATATATACCATTATCAATATTAAAACTTTTATAATTTGCCGATCATAAAGTCAGAGCTCTAAAATTTCCAGAAAAAGAAAGCCACCGTCCAACATCTTCTGCAACCATTAACTTCGCCGAAATTATCTCATTCTCTCCCCCTTTTTTTCCTTCTATATTGTGGTTTAGATTTTTAAGAAAATCTTTAAAATTATTTAAATTTTTTAGGCAAAAGGGTAGCTTTTTCCATTGCAATAGATTCAATTTGTCATTTTGTTTCTATCGTATCTTCGCATCAATTTGACCCTTAAAGTTGTTCAATTGCATCATTATATATCATATTCCTAACTTAAAACCCCAAACCACAATCAAAACTCTAAATCTTAATTTAGGGTATATAGTTTAGGGTTTAGGTTAGGGGTAGAGTATAGAATGATGAAATTAAACAATTTTGAGGGTTAAATTGAAATACGATAGGGTCAAAAATGATAAATCGGGTCTACTACAGGGGTAAAGATTATATCCTTAAACCAATTGTTTTATTTAATGATTGTTTTTTTGGACCACTTTCTATGTTATCTACCATTAGATTGTGTCGAATTTTAACGTTTTAAAAATTGAGTTTATACGGATGACGATTGATTCAATTTTGTATATTAATGGGTAAGGGATAAGTATGTCTGGTCGGTTATTGATAGCTTACATTTTTTGGTTTGAACATAAGTCTTGATTGATGAAGATTCGATCGTGGGTTAGTAGTTGGCTCGAGTGAGGAGAGAAAATGAAAGTAGAAGAAAATGAATTTGTGTGGGTGAGAGAACAGGAGACGAGAGAAAATGCTTTGATGGGCTTTTATGCTGAACTTTTGGTCACTGATGTCGAGCATAGAAGTATGATGTATTAAAAATAAAATCGAGGTGATGAGTTTGGATTACACTGTAACATTTACTGTATTTATCAAAATAAAATAAAAAGTTGGGTGCCCTACAACCCGAGATGTTTAACCCCAATGACCTATTGGGCCAAGAAAACCTGTCTTTAATACTGCAATGATGAGGTGCAACCCAACATTGAAACAATGTTTAGGATTAGGATTTTGTGGGAAAAGAAAATCGTGTCAGTGTTTCTGAATTCTGATATATATATATATATTGGAAAGCAGTGTTTCTGATATTTGTTTTCTGATGTTGACGACAGTCAACGTTGTCTAGTGATTGTCAGTTTCACGCTGTGGCTGCTGTTCTAAATCCCTGACACCATAAAAACACTCCGAAAGACATTAAATTGCAGCATTATGCAGGTTGGATTATCTGTCCATTTTGGTCTATAACTATACATACCTGATACCACTATACTTTATGTTTTTTATAAAAAAAATAAAATAAAATATATTTAAATACGATTCAACTAGCATTCGTGATAATAAATTTATTATTATTCCTTGAAGATTCGGTTCGAGCATTGTCGACGTCAGGGATGTGAGCATTTAATGTCAAAATGTAAAGAGTTATCTTTCAACAGATACTACCTTACACTTGCATCATATTAATAAAAAATAAAAAATATTTAATTTTTTTAATTATTTCAATTCCGTGCGTCCTTACTAGAAAGCGGGGAGGAGTAAACAAATGAAATCATCATTTATAGATATATCTATAAATTAATTATAAAAAAGAAAAGAGAATATCTTATTAATATACTATATCGTACATGAGTAAAAATGTAAAGTTGCGATGGGGGTCAGGAAAATAGAAATTAATTACCATAACTTAGCAATGTAATCATAATTTGTCAATGTAAATACCCAATAAGAAATAGAATAAAGTTAATATTATTTAGGATAGGTTTGAGATGTATCTCATAAAGATGTGAAGCAAGCTTGAATATTAGTTACAAACAAAGCAACCAAGAATGAGTTGATTGAAAAAGGATAAAGAGAGTTAAGTTTAGATTTCAAAATTATAAAAAAAACTCGTAAACTTTAATTTTTCTTTTCTTTAAAGTATATAGTTTTTTTAAGTATTGTTTTAGGTGTGATTTAAATGACGTAGTTTAATTTTATTTTTGTGTGTATTATTGAAGCGTTGTTTTTTGTCTGTTTTTATGACACATTTGTTCATCTATTTTTGTGTCATATCGTTAGGATAATTTGACGTTTCATGTTACATTCATCACAGCGCAACTCCTGATTAGGAAAGATTGAGGGTCTTTCGTAGTTAGAACCTTTTTGCAACAACTTAGCTATTAGGTTTTTGTAAAATACGAAACATGTATTTATGGAAAGATTTTGATTTTATTTTTCTATACTTTGTTTGAATTTTCATATTAGGATTTTGTTATATTTGTGTATCTTACCTTTTTATTCAATAAAAATATGATTTTATTTTTAAAAAAATAGACTTGCCAATTTCTGAACTTATCCAAAATTAATATTTAAAATTGCATATTATAGTCCAAACGATATGATACATTAAGTTATAAAATCTTTAAATTTTATAAAAAGGTGGGCATTTACATTAAAGAAAGGAAAAAGAGCAGTCAAACATTCTCTTGGCAATCACATGGAGAGTTCCCATTGTGGTCCCAAAGCAACAGTAATACCAATATTCCAATCTCGGAGTACCAATCAAGTTGTTCCCTTCACATTTACACCAATTTGCCACTACATATGTTAAATCAAAATTTATACAATGCACCACTTTTCACCTAGCCTTAGTTTAACTTTGCCAAAAAAGAAAACCCTACAAATTCTTTATTTTTTTTATATTCCTTTGTACTAGATGATCTTTTAAAACAATATATATATAAGATAGAGGTTTAATAGTCCTTGTACCAAATTATTTTAGAATATGCAGTCGGTGAATTATAACATCTACTGCACTTAATTAGAAACTCGATGATAACGAGTTTTATAAAATATATTTTTATTAAAATTTGTCGGGTGGGTATAATAAATTCTAATAGATTTTTTTATGGAATTTATCCATGGAACTCTCATTCTCTCGTGACATGTTTTAATAAAAAATTATATTTATGAAACTCGTCATGCATGTGACGAATTCCTAATTTACTATAACAAATACCATAAATTCCTAGATAATTTTCCATCAACCACATTTCCCTATTTTTTCCCATTTACAATATTTTCCTAATTTTACCAAGGTTTAGTTATTAAGAAAGCAACATTTTGATTTATCCCCTTGAAATTTAAAATTTTAAAATACTTTTTATTTTATAAATGTTTTAGATATATTAAAGTCTAGACCTGTTAAGTGGTTTTATTGGTTAAAAAAATATTATTTTCTCTAGAGATCATGGGTTCTAACAAATGTGCCTTAAAGGTGTGTGCGCATATGAACATATACCACCTTATAATTACCTCAAATTATTAAAAAATATTAAAATCTTAAAAACAATCTCATGTTGAACATATATCAACATTTTATATTCATATCCAAATTAATGTAATCTAGATATTCACATGCTTATTTTGTTATTTTCAGCCAAAGCTAGTGATATTGGGTGTACTTTTTTCTTTCTTTCATGATCAAAAAGCACTTTAAAAAGTATGAATGGATTTTCTCCAAGACACACAGTGTTATGCATAAAAGCAATTGAAATCACTCCAGTAGTTTAAAAAAAAACTAAAGTCTTGCTATACACAATAAATCACTATGCATAATCATTAGATCCTCCCAAAATTGGGATTGCTCATTGTCCCACCAGCTTAAATTCAAATTAAGTTAGACACAGAGTAATTAAAAATGCGTTATTCAAGATTTAAAAGATAAAAAAATATCATACTTGAATCTATTGTTGGAGATTATTTAGAAAAGGTTGAGATCTTGAAGATTGTCTTAAAGGTTGACATCTTTCAAGAAGAAGACAATGTATCTTTAAATATCAATTTTCTGACGAGATAAGAGAACATACAAATTGATATATTTCTTAGGGATCATAATCTCTTTATATATTTGATTTAATAATCAATTATTATATGTATTTAAACTTTATCTCTCATCAAATTATAAATACAAGTTTAATAGTATATACACTTCTATTTCCACAGTACTTCTAATCAGGCCCGTCCTTTTATACGTGTAGGATGTGATATGTTACATAACCCCAAATTTTAGGGGCCCTATACTTAAAAAAATATTTCCTTGAAAAATTTGCTATCATTCTTTTATTAATTTTTATGATAAGATTTAAAAAAAAATTAGTTTTTTCCTTTAATATCTCAATAAATGAATTGTAATAATTTTTTCTAGAAAAACCACACTATGAATGAAGTGTAATCATTTTTTCCTAAAAACTCCACTAAAATCATGATTTTTAAGGGGGAAATATTATAGGGGTATAATTTTATAATTTCGTTTTATTATAAAATATTTTAGGGGTCTCATTTTAAAAAGTAACACAGAACCTCAATATCTTTTGAGACGGGCATGCTTCTAATGCCTATTACTTGTCCAACATATTGATCACTTAATTATTTATGATAACATTATACATTATGTGCTCTTAATTATAATATTTTAATCGAATAATTCTACTTAGAGATTTTAAGTTCGAGTAACTAAATTTTTATGGTGCAGTGGCGAATTTAGAAATTTAAGAATAGTAGTCTAAAATTTTAAATATTTTTTTCTTTAAAAAATGGATATGCAAAAATTTTAATCGAATTATTCTACTTAGAGATTTCATATTTTTTCTAAATAACTGGGATACACTTGGTCCCCTAGGGACTTAGTGCGTCTTCCTCTAGTATGGTATGTGTGCACGTTATTAATAACTAATTTTTCTTA